AGTGTGCAACTCCTCGGTTGAACACTTCCTACACAGTAAGCGTCCAATCTAAGAAAGTGTGCAACCGAGGAGTTGCACACTTGCAAGTGCACATCTACCGAGTTTAACACTTGCAAGTGTACGACTACGGAGTTGCACACTTGCAAATATTAAACTTGCAGTTGCACATTTACAAGTATTGAGCAGCTGAACACTTAGTTTATCAGTGTATCCTTACAGAATAACGCCACGCGATATCCAAAATCAATGAATAGAGAAACGTTGTTCCAGTGTAACGTTGGCCAATGGCCATAGTAAATCGATAAATAAACTGTGAACATTTGTCACACGAGACTAGAATTTTAACACGTATCACTTTTTTTTGTGACTCGAGACAGGAGGGAACATCAAATACTCGTTTTGGCACAATTAACTACAATCAAAGGAAGGCCCTTACAAAAATAATCAGTACCCAAACAGTCCCCAAACAGGGACCATTCAGTCCCCACGTGCGTACTGTTTGGGTACTAGTCTGGGCGCATGGGGACTGGTCTCAAACACGCCCAAAAGTGACGAAAAAACGCCCTCCGTGTGCCCTGGTCCCGTCCCCTAGTGTGAGGGGACTAGTGCGCAACAGTGACCGTGCGCCGAGCCGAGCGTACTAAAAGCGTACTAGTCCCCTTTTGCCTGAAACAAAAATTAAATCGGCGCGAGGTCTCTTTGCGTACTAGTCCCATTTCCGTCTGCGCGCTCGGTTGTATTCGTTCCTTTGTCCTCTGGTTCCTCGGATTCCTTGCCGGTGATGTCGACGCCTTAGACCGCTGAGCCAACCTGTAACATGGGGAAGGAGCGCAACCGACAGCCTCCTCTTTCGAGACGCAGCCGACGCAGTCCTTGCGCCTGCTCGTGTGGGCGAACGGCTGCGCGCAGGAGAACGCAGTTTTCGACTCTAGCTTAAGGGCGCTGCAGCGCTTTTGCCCCTTATGCTGAAATATATCTTTGTCTTCAAAGAGTGGCGACACTTTTTGCACTCTCTCTGTGGGCAGGAAGCACAGGCTCTTGTAGTGCTTAAAAAGTGCATCTTATCTTTAATTTTTTGTCGTTATTTCTATTGAATTATTTTAAAACGATCAAAATCGCAACTTTTATCTTTGCTTCACTAATAGTATTACCTCTCAGTCGCTCACAAATGCCGTCTGACGGACATTTTTTACCATTTTTTTCTGGAATTGCCCCACTATAGTCTCCTGGACCCCGCGTAAATTAATCCTCAGTTGTTTAGCGAGTTGCGATATTATTGGGTCTTTGCCGAATGTGTTCGAAGGTTCTTTCGAGTCCCTACGCCACCTATATTATTAGTCTTGCATAGTGACTGTTTGAGCGCGAGTCCTTCGGTACGGGTACTGTCTGAGCCCTAGTCCCGCGGCACGCGTACTGTCTGAGCCCTAGTCCCGCGGCACGCGTACTGTCTGAGCCCTAGTCCCGCGGCGCGCGTACTCTTTTGAGCCCTAGGCCCCTCCGGTGAGTATCAAAAGCTCCCTAGTCCCGTGCGACGCGTCCTCTTTGCGCCCTAGTCCCCTCGGATGACTACTAAACGCGCCCTAGTGCGCGCGGGACGGTCACTCTTTGGGGACTAGTGCGCTCGGGAAGGGTACCGCGTGGGTCCTAGGGCGCTGATCAAGCGTACAATAACGCGTACTGGTCTCGTCTAGGAGACCGAAAAGCGCACTAGTCCCACAGCTCAACGGACCTTGCAGGGCACTAGTCTCACAGCGAACGTACTGAATGGGTCCTGTTTGGGGACTGAATGAGACCGTTTGGGGACTGTTTGGGTACTGATTATTTTCGTAAGGGGGACTAGGACTTACCCCATTAAAGTCTTTGTTGTGGGTACGAAAAAAATCACTATCGTACCTCCATTTTGTTTGTGTAAATTGCTACGAACACCTTTCCGCGTGGGAGTCGATGGCGAGGTGGCAGATTGTGACATCCCGGACCTGGTGCATTATGCGATGTTGTGCGCACCGGTACCGAGGCTTCTTGCAGTTTTGGGGAGTATCACATTCCGATCTGTAGACGAGACTCGTGTCGGGCGCATCGCAATTTTCGTCGTGGTTCGGCACCCCGTCCCACGTGAGGTGCCAAACGTTAATGGTTCCATGCAGAATTTCCAACTGAACGTGTTCTGGTGCGCAGATTCCCTTGGACACGGTGCCCCATTTCGAGGGGTGCTTAATTTTAGTGAATGGCAGTAGCTCGCATGACTTGGTCGCGTCATCCTTCTCCCTGTAGACGACCAGCTGGCTGGGGTCGTTGCAGAGGCTGCTGCAGTTCAACCGATTCTGGTGGTAGAGGAAGGCACAAGAGGGACGGTGAGAAGGTTACACTTTTAGGCGGTCGAAATGGAAGAGCGGAGAACTCCGCAATGCTTACCGCGTTCTGTGGTTCGGTCAGCTTGCACTCCTCTATGCGTTCGCCTTGGGCGGAGCAAGTGTAGATCTCTGCAGTTTTAGTCGGGGTGGCAAGCGGGGGTACGGGGTTTGCGTCCACGGCCGTTAGCAGCAGGCAGAGGGCGGCGAGGACCGCGGCGAGGACCACGACGACCACCGATGTCGACTCCATGCCGAGCAAGAACGATCTGGGCACTGGCGGCCGAGGCGCACTGCTCAAATACGCGAATCCCTCGCGATGACGTGTCGCGCGCCGTGCCGCGGCCGGGCCGCTGGTAAGCACCGCGACGCCGACCCCCGGCCCCGGCTACCCCGGGGCTGCCACTGCGCCGGCCTGCACCACCGGGCCCGCCCACCCACACCCTCAGTGACGCCAAGGGGTGTTATTTGGAATCCTAGTTGGGTCCACTGGAAATGAGTACTTTCCCTCGGGGCATTCCCCCTGTGTAAATGTAGGAAAATGTTATCATGGAGATCATGGAGACGTCCTCTCTGTTGAACGCATTCAACGGAATTGTGAGTAAAACAAAGTCATAGGCTTTATTATGTGTAAAGCTGTCGTTTTTGGCCTACACTTATAATTTCTTGCGGCGTATTTGTTCGCATTGCGTTTGTCTGCTTTTGTAAGGCTACAGAGAAATTTCTTCGCAATTATAAAGCAGCCACAATCTCTTGCAAGGAATACAGGGTGGTCCACAGACCCCTTCCTTTATTTTGCTTATACTGTACCGCATGCAGGCGTGCGGGTGGGTTGCAGACTCGCACGGGGCCATAAGGCGCCGCGCCGCGGTGAGCGACGGTAGGCAAGCCCGCCCGCACGCCTGAATGCGGTACAGTATAAGCAAAATAAAGGAAAGGGTCTGTGGACCACCCTGTAATCGGTGTACTTATTCACTTTCACGTTTGGCAGCCAGTGAAAATACTTATTAGCCAGCGCCCTCCAGCCAGCCGCCCCAACCCCTCCCCTCAAGTGCCGGCGAAGTGTCGACGACGCTCTAGCCTCGCCTCCGGGTTACAGCTTCTTGGAGGGTGCGCTACTGAATTTTTAGGGGAGCTGCGGGACTAATAATGCCTTTCAGAGGCACTAGAGGTGCCAAAAATTCGCAAAAAAGTACCTTTCAGGAGCGAAAGCGCATTTTTCTAGAGATACTATTTCACTAGCTTCCTTAAAAGCTATGAGATAGCATCTTTGTTATAACAGTGTTGTTATGTTATGAATTAATGAACAACTACTCTGTAACAGATCGGTCTGCCAGTTTTTCTGATATAGGAAAAGGCAAAAGGCATAAAGAAAAGCAGTTTTTGAAAAAAAAATCCCTGTGCAAACCAATTGGATATAGAACATCGAAATTTACAGGTATTCAACCTAATTAGTCTGAAATGTCTAAGCAACCCTCAGAGACAAAAGTTACAAACGCTTTAAGAAGATTTTTTGATCCCCATGCCGGATTTAAATATTAATCAACAAGGTGTTTGATCCGCGCCGTCCTTTTTCTGCTTACACTGTACCGGATACAGGCGTGCGGGCTGGATTGCCTATCGTCACTCGCCGTGGCGCCTTACGGCCACTTGCGAGTATGCAACCCGTCCGAACGCATGAATCCGGTACAGTATAAGCAGAAAAGGGCTCGGATCACCCACCCTGTATAGAAGAACCATTACGCACACGAGGGGGCGCCATCTCTTAAACCAGTTTGCGCAAGAACCTTTCGAAAGATAGGCCGTTTTTGAGCATATACTTTCAGATTTTTATTGGAGCTTTTGGCGGCCTCTAAAATTCCAGAAAAGCGTGAGAAGGTCTTAATTGGTGATGGTCGTCCAGTAATTGAAAAGGAAAATGTTCAGAAACATCGGCTTCTATATGACCTTCCAATTGCACCATAGTGCCCCCTTAAAGAGTCATCTGAAAGCCCATTGAAAGACTCTAAAGGAGAGATCATTGAATGTCGCTCTCCGCGGGGTGATACAATTGGATGCACGATATCGCGCTCCCAGGAGCGCGATATTTCACTCCTCCATTTCCAGTGGTGGAAAAGTGAAAGGGGGGCAGTTGGGGGGGATTCGGTTTTGCTTCTGATCTCATACATTGTATGAAGCCGAGCGCGGTTGGGGCGTGGTGACTTCAGTGTTAGCCAATGGGAAGCGGGCTCTGGAGTGGGGCTCGGCGGCGGTCCCCGCCGATCTTGAGAGGGGGAGGGGGAAACCCCCTCGACTGTAGGGCGCTATCGGCTCCGGGACAGGGGGAGGGGG